GCCAGTCCTCAGTGGCATTGAACTATTTTGCTGCTTCTGTTCTGATGAGCTCAATAGATCCTCGGCTGTAATTGCAATTAGTCAGCTGGAGACATTGATTCAATACTTGACCTTGACCAATTTAGCAGAAGTCAGTTGGAATTTACCTGCATGTCAGTAATGTATTGAATGTGGAACCTGCAGTTGCTTTGGCCTTCAGCACACAGCTTCTGTAAAGGACTGTCCCCATCCCCTGGGATCCTGGCTAGTGGCACCCTTCCTGTTCAATGAATTCTTCGGGGGGCTAAAGCACAAGTGAAATTCTGGCTTCTCTTTCTGTTCTAGACTGACTTACTGCACCACACTGCTGTAACCTACCTTGTTTCCTTCAGTGTAACATCCTCATAATTGATTTCTGCTATAGATAGTACAGGCTTGAGACTGTAACAAATTCAGAACTGTGGTGTGGTTTATGTGGTGCTTCAACTTGTTTTATTCTCTGCCTAGACTATTGCATACAGCATTCTATGGGACCTGAAGTTCTTGATGAGGTATGCTTGCTCCTTAAAGTTTTGATACAAACAGAAGGAAAACTGTTGTCTGCTGTCATTTGCTGACAGAGGAAATTATCTTTGTATGCAGTATTTACTAGAAAGATTTTGCAAATTATGCATTTACATTAAACAAGAAGTGACTGCACTTAAACCAGGAGAGACTGTTAAACCGCAGAGCACAGGCTGAGCCCTGTAGAAGGGAAAGACTAATCCTAACCTGCTAGGACTGAAGTGCTTCTGTGAGTGACCTCCTTGCTGAGAGCTCACAAACAACTGTCTAGACTAGATCAGTGAGCTGCTGTTATTTCCAAAATGGCTAAAATAGCAACTGTGTTTACGCATGACTGAAGCAGTTTTCTGAGGAGACTAAAGCATGTAGATACTAGAGTGGTTTCTGGGGTTTTAAATCTCTAACCCCTTCTCTAAGTAGAAGACAGGGCTCCTAAACATGAGCTTTCTTGTCCAGCCCTGAGTGATGGCTGGCTGTTACCTTTTCACCCTTCTCCTTGTAGAGGGGGGGCAGTGCAAGAACTGTGGTCTTACTACAACCCTGTAAATGTGTAACTTCTTTTAGCAGTGTTGCTATTCTGTTTTCTCAAAGCAACCTCTGAACTACTTTGGCACATCTGGCTAAACCTGAGGTACAGAATAACTTCCACACAACTGAATCCATGCTGTAACAGATGCTCAGCAGCTGTGCCCGAGCTGTGGGTACTGGGCTTCCCTGGCAGGCTGTAGGTGTCTGCCCAGGCTGGTGTAAATTGGTGTGTAGGGTGCTGCTGTTTCAGCTGTGAAGTTCAATGCAGACACACATCACAAGGTGCAGAGTAGGGTCATTCCTCACCAGCATGCAGATACTTTTGGGTTGAAATGGTTAGATAAGACAAAGTCTATAGATCAGTGTAAAGTGTAGAGAATTGCTGTTTTTTCACCCCATTTCTCCCCTTCTGTAGGAACCTTGCCCTCGGGGGAGGCTTGCTGCTGCTGCTGGCTGAGTCACGCTCAGAGGGGAAGAGCATGTTTGCTGGTGTCCCCACCATGAGAGAGAGCTCCCCAAAGCAGTACATGCAGCTGGGGGGCCGTGTGCTGCTGGTCCTCATGTTCATGACATTGCTACACTTCGATATGAACTTCTTTTATGTAAGTATCCAAATACAAAAGGATGAATTAGATGATAGTACCAGCTCCCAGGTTTGGCTGCAAGACCTGTTCAGTGCTTATCACTGAAGTCTATTTTTAGTAGCATTAATATTTAGAAAATTATTAGATCATCTGTGCCATGACAACCTGTTCTGCTGAACTCATCCACACTCTGTTCTGATGTTGGTGTATCTATTTAAGAACTATATGTAAGCTTGTGGGTTTTTCTCTCTTGCAGATTCTGCAGAACATTGTGGGCACGGCCCTGATTATCTTGGTGGCAATTGGCTTCAAGACTAAGCTGGCTGCCTTGACTCTAGTCATCTGGCTGTTTGGCATCAACATCTACTTCAATGCCTTCTGGACCGTCCCAGCCTACAAGCCCATGCACGACTTCCTCAAGTACGATTTCTTCCAGACCATGTCTGTCATTGGAGGGCTCCTCCTCGTGGTTGCACTGGGTCCCGGCGGCGTCTCCATGGATGAGAAGAAAAAAGAGTGGTAACAGGAATAGCAACACTTCTTGGGACATAACATATTAAGTCCAGAACTGATTCTCTATGGATTCAACAAAAACTGCCAGCATTTTACACATACATGCCCCCTTTCCTACTAAAGGCACAGATGTTTTGAATTTGATTTACAGTGGCACCAGTAATATAATAGATAAAATCCTATTCCTTCAAGGAATGTTGCCTAGGCTTATTCTAACTTCCTAGATTTGGAACTAACCCAAGGAACCTGCATTTTGCTGGTGCTTCAGTGAGCTGCAGTAGAACAGCTGCTGTCTTTAATGTCAGCAATGTTTTCAAATTTGGAGTCCTGTGAGCAGATACAACTGGACCATTCAGTGTGCTCTTGGGTTCCAGCTGTAACTGAAAAAAAGTGGATCCTCTTTCTCGCCCTCATCCAAACTGTCTTGTGCATAAGAGTTCCATGGCTGGTTATAGCACTGCTCATCAAGGTGGAAAGCAGCATCCAAAAAAAAAAAGCTATTATTTTGCTGCTCAGAGGCCTGTAATTCCATTTTGTTTCACAAGAGGGGGGAGGTCTTTCCTGCCCCCAAATAGAAGGCAAAAAGAAAACTCAAAGTAGTTGTAACCTCCTTTAGGTAAGAAAAGAGACTTTTTTTTTTTTTTTTTAACATGTTCCAGTTCTGCTCTTGATAGGAGCAAGGGAGAATCCAGTATTGCTAATCAGGAATCCTGTATGGCTGATCAGGTTTTAAGGAAGAATGGGGGGAGATGCTCCTGAAGAGACAGAATGTTGGATTCTGTGCCAAAAGAACTCTCTTATTCAGCATTCTTTCCCCAAAGATGCCCCTCCTGAATTCCCAAGAAGGGAGCTGAGTGGTGTTGCAGGTTCCATAATAAAAGCTCCTTTTTGCTATTAATCAGCTTCCATCCATATAGACCCCCCCAATTGCAGGTTATTGATGGAAGTGTCTTCAGAACTACAGAAACTCCCTTTTCCCCAACTCAGTACATGCAAATCGTCTAACCTGTAGTCTTTGCTTCTTAGATTCACTTGTCAGCCTCTCAGCTGTGCAAGTCCCAGGTGGCTGAACAGCAGGAGGGTGAGCTCTGGAGTCCAGCCCCTTCTCTGCCTCCTCGGAGCAGCCCCGAGGTGTGCAGGGAGGGAAGGTGGCAGTAGCTGTGTGCTGCCATAGCCCCGGCTCTCAGCTCCACACGCCAACGGTTCCAGCTGGGGAGTGCCAGCACAGGGCCTGTGCAGTGAGTGAGCAGCCAGGGATGGAGCTGCCTCTTCAGAGGGAGGAGCTCCTCAGCAGAATGAGGAGGAGAGAGGAAGGCCCCATTCCCACTTCTTGGTGCCACGACCTCTGTGCCATGAACACACTTAGTGCTGCTCAGAGGAGGAGTTTTGTCCTTTGCTAGTCACCTAGGTGAACCTGTTCCACTAGATTCTGAAAGCATTCTAGAAAGCATGAGCCCTACCAACTTGCTGATGTTACCTTGGTTCCTTGCACTGTTGTCTCCCTCGAGAAAGCTGCTCAACTGTTTGTTCAAGGAGTTGGACAATCAGCAGGAGCTCATTTACCAGGGTCTCCTGGTAAGGACACTAACTTGGACAGTTCAGCTCAACGGTTGCTTTTTAGAAGAAAAAAACTAAGCTGAAAGAACTGATGACAAATGGAAGAGTCCTGTTGTTAAACCAGTGACTTCATCATCTTTAGGGGAAAATAGCCTATGTAATTAGCAAGATGCATTGCTGCTGAAGGAAACAAAGTGGTGTGTGGGGTAGGTGGGAGGGAAGCCAGCATTTAAGGTCAGGTCACAAAGAAGTCTTTCTGTTAGATAGGTTTTGTGAGAGAAATTTTCACCTCAAATGTTCACTGTGCCTGACTCTTCATAGAAAAATGAACTGGTCCTTCCAGTTCTGGGTATGCAGCCCAGGCTGCCTTTGCTCCATTTCACTGCAGGCCCTAGAAGGGTTTTAGACTCCCTCAAGGCAGCCATTCTCAGATCTGAACTGCTCTTCATAGTATTTATAAATGGAATGATAGAAACAACAAGCCTTTAAGTTGATTTTTCTCAACTTGTGTGTGCCGTTTAAGGAGCTGGATGATGGACTAGTCTGAAATACTGACCAGTCTCCTCTGAAAATCAAGTCCCCTTTCCAGCAAAAGACCCCAGGAAAGGAACTGATTGCCCCTCACAGAACTCTCTCAGTGCTCAAGGGGCACACTTGGGTGGAGGGCATTATGAGACATTAGGTAGCGCAATATGCAGACTTACTGTGAGTCCTGATGCAGAAGATTCTGGTTTCCTACATACACTGCTGTATTTGTGCATCTCCCAAAAAATACAGTGACCTCTCCCCATGGCTGAGAAGCTCTCACAAGCAGGATGTTGGCTATCAATTGGCTCTGCAGTGTTCTGGAATTCATTCTGAACATATTTTTTGCTTTCTATGTGGAAAAAAATAAATATAAATTCTCATTTTATGCTGTATTTTGTACCTTAGTTGTGTTTGAAAATGTTTTGATTTTTTGAAACAATCAAAATAAAACAATGGCATCTTTGTATCCACTTGGCGTGTGTGACTGGTGCCACTCCACAGATGGGCTACCTGGCAGTGCTGGTTTGTAGTCCCCTACAGAACCCATCTTCCCAGGGACAGGATGGCTGCTGTCATCCTTCCTGGGGGGTGGCTTTAGGCTGCCAGAACCACACCTGAATTCTGCCCTACTATTCCCCTCCCCAGCTGTATCAGTTATCTGGACTAGGTGGGCACCTTGCCCCACCTTGTGGGCCCTCCAGCATCATTCCACCACAAACTTCAGGCCACGTATTTATCATGAAAAATTTATTTGCCATTAACAACTTTCTTGAAGTTCTTGGGTTTGCGATGGTGACTCTTGAATTTCTTCTTTGAAGGGCCTGACTGTTTCTGTAGAAAGAGGGAAAAAAGGTTCATCAGCTTATTCCCAAAATGCAAATCCACAGCTTCCCCTGCCCGCTCTGTCTCTGACAAGCACATGGTTCTACTAGGTACAAACAGTGATGGTCTCCTAGAAATCACCCAGTGAGCCTCCACTTCGCAGTTTGACATGGTTTTAAAGGATCCAGTCCCTTCCTCAGGGGCTGCTGCTGCAGAGAGTTTAAGGTTTATCCATCTTTATGTACATAACATCTGCCTGCTTCCCAAACTGAGAAGGATGAGAGTATGTCCTGTAAGGCAGGACCTGGCCAGATCCGCAAAAGAGGCCGAGAAAGGCTCTGAAAGGACCCTGTGACTTAAAACAGGTTTAACTAGTGTTTGTGTGTGGGGAGGAAGCAAGGCATGACTCCCACCTTTCCCCTTTTGCTGCCAGCTGCTCTGCTGACACCTGTCCTTCTCCCTTCCTCTCCGTTGATGTCACCGTTCTGCTTGGCCCCCTCATCCTCGCTGTCTGTCGCGAAGTCTCCGCTGCCCTCGGTGGCCTGGGGAGCTGATGGGCTCTTTTCTGGGAAGAGAGCAGCTAAAATACAAAGATTTAGCTCAGGATCAGTTTGCTGTGCACGTGGGCTCTGCCTCCCCCTCTAGTTACTCTGAGGGCATCCTGAAGGTGGTTCGCCAAGCTGCTGCCCATGTCCAACCCCAGACAGTTCACCACTGAAATGTCTGTGAAACCAACGTGCTGGTTTTATCAGAAAGGTGCCTGGTGCCCTCATTCGCCCTGTTCCAGGAACCACTCAGCTCTGGGTGTCACACCTCTGCTCTCCCCAGCGAGGTAGAGCCCAAGAGCAGCACAAGCAACTTCTGTCTGATGAGAAAAGCAGAGCTACCAAAAGCAGCAAATCCCAGTGGATCCTGTCTCCCTCCCCTCACACTTTACATGATCCAACTCTGTTTATCACTCAGTGATGGCTTATTTCTTATCTGGTGGTGTCAAGCTTTTCCCAAAGCAAAAAACTCTCAACTGGATAGGAAGCACCTGCCTCTAGCACATGAGCAACAGAGAGCAGTATAAAGAAGCCAGGAGAAAAATCAGCCAGGAGAAAAACCACCCAGCAAATTCCCTTCAGGACACGATGCCAGGGGTCTTACTCACGCGGGTAGAGGTCACTCATGCTGTCATCCGTCTCCTCTCCCATCTCGTCGCTGGACTGTGGCTCCCAGAACTCCTCTTTGCTGTGAGGCTGCCTGCTCCCGTTCCTCTGGTCCTCAGGGTGCTGCCTCCGCTGCTTCTTCTGCCTCAAGCAGGCAGGGATGTACTCCACTCCCTCCTCCTGGCACTGCTCATCTGCCAGGGCCAGGCGTTGGCAGCGCTCGGCAACTCACCCAGCCACCTCGCGCCTTCCAAGTCCCAGCTCTGGTTTGTATTCATTTCAACTCACAAGAATGTCAAGCTCCAACCATGACACACATTTACATCATCTACAGCCACGCTATGGGTAGTGAAAGATGGAAGAGACCTTAGCACAGAGACTGTGCTGGGTGTGTGAGGCCTCCTCCTGAGGGAAGCTTCCAAACCACTCCTCTCCAGTAAGGATGTTCCAAGGTATTTGCTAGAGGCCTATTGTCCCCTACATTTGGGATCTTTCTCCCTAGCTGAGGAGCACACACAGCAACAGCAGCACATTTTCTATCTAAAGAAAATGTTTCCCCTTCCTTCATGTAGAGCTACTGGAATCTCAACAGCATTCTCTGGTTTCATCCTCAGAAAAGCTACTTACATGTTTTTAGGGCCTTCTGATAGCGCTTCCCTTGGACATGACGCAGCACATGCTCTGGAAACTTGTTGATGTGTCTGAGGGTGAGCTTGCAAAACAGCTGGTGTCTGACAGAAAGAGACAGTGGCAGAGTTTAAATATTATATTACTTAATAACTTTTCACTTACAAGCACTGCAATCAAGTATTTATCAAAGCTGCTATTTTATAAAGACTCTCCCAGTCTCCCAAAAACCCATAAAGACTCAAGAACTTTGTAACGCTCGACCACTTGGCATCTGAGGTTGAACAGCGTGTAAAGGACAGCACACAAGAGGGCAAACACTTACAGATTCTTCGTGCTGGGCACTATGTGGGGCTGGAACTTGCTGTAGTCGAACTCCTGGGCTGCCTGTGCCAGCCGGCGGTACCTCCTGCCGCCAGTGTAGGCCTGCAGCTCGGGCAGCCGGCAGGGCATCTCGTGGCCAGTCAGCCTGCACCTCACCTGAGGAAAAACCACTCTGCTCAGGGAACCCCAGGGCTGGACAGGGGAGGAGAGACCTCAGGCGTTGTCCTCCCCAGCCCTCCTCTGACTTGCACAACGGGAGAAAAGCCTCAGGGCCTGGGAGCTCGCTGGGGCAGAGCCAGCACCAGGGAACCCTCCCTGGCCTCCTACTGACCAGCCTCACCCCCCTCATGGCCCCTGCAGGGGATGCGGCCTCGGCATCACCTCACCAACCCCTCAGGGAGGTGGCCCCAGTCATAGAACCACAGAATCATTAAGGTTGGAAAAGACCTCTGAGATCATCAAGTCCAACTGCCAACCCAACTCTGCCATGTCCCCCATTGCCACATCTCCATGTTTTTTGAGCCCCTCCAGAGATGGTGACTCCACCACCTCCCTGGGCAGCCTGGTCCAATGCTTCACCACTCTGTCAGAAAAGAAACTCTTCCCAACAGCCAATTGAAACCTCCCCTTCGGCCCATTTCCTCTCATCCTACCACTGG